TTATAATTTCTTTATTATTAAATACCAATTTTTTATATTACAATAAGTAATCTAATAAAATAATAATAATAATAATTAATTATAAGAAACAAAAACTTCATAACTTATTATTCATTCAAATGCAATTCTTTACTGAAGTGTATAGGGAAAAATTACCTGATTATAATATTACTGGTATTGTTTTTGAACATAACGAGACTAAAGCCAAAGTTATTAAAATATTATCTGATGACAAAAACAAATCATTTTCTATTTCTTTTAAAACACCACCTACTAACAATAAAGGAATTCCTCATATTATTGAACATAGTTGTTTAAGTGGAAGTGACCATTACACTACAAAAGAACCATTTGCTGATCTTTTAAGAGGAAGTTTACAAAATTTCTTAAATGCAATTACATTCCCTGACCATACAATGTATCCTATTGCAACAACTAATGAAACTGATTACAAGAATTTAATGAAAGTATATCTTGACGCTGTATTCTTACCACGTGTTAGAAATGATATTTATCCATTTTACCAAGAAGGTAGAAGGTGGGAAAAGAATGAAGACGGTGAACTTGGATTTAATGGTATTGTTTATAATGAGATGAAGGAAAGCGAAACAAATCCAGTAACTTTAGCCGATAGAGTTATTTCTCAAAAACTTTATGATGGTACATATATATATGAATCTGGAGGTATTCCTAAAGATATTGAAACATTAACATATGATGAATTCTTAAAATTTTATAAAGAACATTATCACCCATCAAATTCATTAACTGTTTTATACTCTCCATTAACATTGATTGATGATGAACTTACTCTTTTGAATGAATATTTCCATGGAAAAGGATTTAAAACCCCATCACATGTCAGTGATAAAGATACAAATATTTCTGGTACAGTTGAAACTATTCAATACCCAATTGACCTTGAAGAAAGTGATGAAAAGAAAGATGTATTTGTTTATGCTTGGAAAATTAGTAATTGTAATCCTGAAGTTCAATTTGCATTAAACATTATTCAACAATTATTAGTCACAGTTGAAGGAGCTCCTTTGAATGAAAAATTGAAAGAACTTGGAATTGCAAAGAATGTTATTGGGCAATTTGAAATTGATTATCAAACTCCATATTTTTCTGTTGTTGCTAAAAATGCAGATCCATCTAAATTAGATCAATTTAAACAAGTTGTTAATGAAGAATTACAAAAAATTGTAAAAGATGGTTTTGATAAACAAAGAGCTATTGGAATATTAAATAAGCATGAGTTTGATTTAAAAGAGTGCACATTTGGAGGTTATCCAAAAGGACTCGTTTATGCAATGTTATGTGCTTATGCCCATGCCCATGACGATACAGACTTATTCCGTAGTCTTAGAGTAAATTGGATAATTACTAAAGTTAGAGAAGGATTGAAAAATCATTATTTAGAGGATATAGTTCAAAAATATTTGATTGAAAATGATAGACATATTGTTGTACGTTGTGTCCCAACAAAAGGATTAACTGAGACATGGGAAAAAGAAAGTAGAGAACGACATTCTGAAATGAGTAAAGACTTTGATGAAAAAGCAATCAAAGAAATAGAAAATACTTGTGCTGAGTTAAAACGTAGACAACAAGCAGAAGATACTCCGGAACAAATTGCTACCATCCCTCATTTAAGACTGAGTGACATTGATAAAAAAGGACAAGACTTTTCTCTTGAAGAAGTTAAAAATTCAATTAAAACATATAGAAAGGTTGATGTAACTAATGGAATTGTATATTTTAAGTATTTCTTTGACTTAAGTGATTTAACACTTGAACAATTAAGAGTTGCTGATTTCTTAGCATCTGTTATTAAATCATTTAATACAAAACAACATAATTATCTAACTCTTGGATCATTAATTGATATTAACTTTGGTAAATTAACATTTGAAGTAGAAACTCATGTCGATTCTCATTTAGGTACTACAACTGAAGATATCAATCATGTTAAACCATATTTCTTAATTTCAGGTAAAGTATTAAATGGTTATATTACTGATGGTATACAAATACTTGTTGAAATTTTGAATGACATTCAATTTGATGTTAAAATATTACAAAAGAAATTATCTGAATTTATTGTACGTTCTGAAGACATTATTAAGAATGCTTCTTATTATCCACTGTCAAGTAGAATAAAGTCATATCTTTCTAAACAAGGAGTAGTTGAAGAATACTTAAATGGAATTACTTCCTATTTAGAAGATGTTAAGTTAAGAAATAATTTTGAAAAAGAAGGACTTTCATTCCTTCATTCTCTTGAAGAAATGTATCATACAATTTTCAGTACTGATCGTTGTACTTTGTTTTATTGTTCTGAAGAAAATACTAAAGAAGATGTTTTAAAACAATTAACTTCCCTCCAAGCAGTTTTTCATGGAAAAGAAATGGGAAAAACTCAAGAATATCCAAGTCCAGTGGTTAAAAATGAGGCTCTTCAAGTTCCAGTTAAAGTAAATTATGTCGGTAAAGGATTTAATTTTGCCTCTATGGGAGTAACTTTTAATGGAGCATTTAAAGCATTATTAGAAATTATTGAAAAAGAATACTTATGGAATAAGGTTAGAGTTGAAGGTGGTGCTTATGGAAGTTGGATGACTTATTCATATAGTGGAAATGCTATTTTCACTTCATATCGTGATCCTCATTTATATGAAACCCTTATAACATACGATAAAGTTGCAGATTATTTAGAAAATATGAAGTTTACACAAGAAGAAATTGAAAATTATCTTATTGGTATTTTTGCTGATATTGATGCTCCAAAGACTGTTTCAGGATTCTTTAACACATGTTGTAATTCTTATTTGAACAATACCCTTGGAAGTTCTCAAGTAATTCGTGAACAATTATTCCAAGTTAATCTTGAAAGTTTAAAAGAACAATCCTCTATTATTATTAATGGGTTAAAGAAGAATATTATTTGCACTATTTCTCCACAAGAAGCAATAAAGAGACAAAATGGAGTCTTTTCAGAGAAAGTATGTGTCTTTGAAAAACTTTAATAAAAGAAATTTTTTGATAATTTTTTTAATTAATTTTTTAGAACTTAAAATCATAATGTTCTTTATTATATTCTTACCACTTTTATGTTTAGCTTTTGAAGATAACTTATTATTTAAAGCTACTCAAAAAAAACAATTTATTAGTCCCACAACATCTACCGTTAATCCTATCAGCAGAATAGACTACCCATTAAAGGTATGTGCAATGATTAATTGTGCTAAACGTGAAATATTAAATACAAATTGTGATTTTACAACTGGAAGAGGAAGACTTGGTTGTTATAATATTGAAGAAAATAAATGTACACCATTACCATCGAGAAAGTTTTGTTTTAGATCAATGAATAAAAATATGGCGTTTGTAAAAGTTAACAAAACAAATATTGATCCACCTGAATTTACATTATATACATTTAAAGACCCTTTGTGCCAAATACCTGATCAATACGATAAACCATTCACTGCTCAATGTGATAAACATAATATCATTTCAGGAAAATTAGGATGTAAAGGTGAAAATTCTCCATTAGGAATGATGTGTCGTTCAAAAGATTATATCTTCAATACCCAAAACAGAGTGCATATAAATCAAAGAACAAAAAGTCATACTACAATTACTTCCATAGTTTCATTCCTTCTTTTCATTGCATTTTTACTTTGAATTTTATTGTTTTTTAGTTCTTAGAAAAAACAATGTGAACTTAAAATTTAATCCTGAAAAATGGAAATTATAGAACATTCAATTCAAACATTCAAAAAGGCTATTGAACAAGAAAACAATGGAATGAAACAAGAGGCAATTGACTTATATAAAAATGGTATTGAAGAACTTTCACAAAAAATAGCTTTTATTAAAGATGAAAGTATATTGGGTCAGTGTATTGATGCATTAAAAATGTACAAAGACAGAGTTAATTTATTAGAACAACAACTTCAAGAAAAACAAGTAATGTCTTTCCCTTCTTTAAAAAATAAAGATAACCAAAAAGACTATGTTATGTTTCAACCGACATATCAATTACCGACAAATGATTATATTCCTCAAGACACTTACAAAATATCAGATGATAAAGATTTTAGTGGTCAAGTTGATGAGATCTTAAGTCAAGTATATAACGACATTAAAAAAGAGCAACTTACACAACAAAAACCAATTCAAAAACCATTACCTGTTATTCCTCAAAAAAGAACACAACAAACGGCTATTGACAATGAAATATCACTAATGGAAAACTATCTTCAACAAGAAGAATCAACTCAAAGTCTAAATCAAAATGAAAGAGATTCTATTTATCAACAAGCCTTACAAAATGCAAACAATTCAATAGAATTAACACAACAAGACATCAAAAATATAGATCGTATTATTCAAAAAGGAAAACGTGCAAATCAACAAATTAAAAAAGAAGAAGAAAAGTTTGATCGTTTAGTTGCACAAAGTCATCAAGCCGATGAATATTTAGATTTAAAATAACTAAATAACGGCGAACAATAATTGAATTATTTCATATTCTTCTTAGAGAATTCAACTAAATTATCAACAGTTCTTTGTTGTCCAAATCTTTCAGCAAATTCACCATTATGATAAAAATTCACAGTTGGATATCCTCTAATTTTATAGAACCCACATAAATCTCTAAATTCAACACAATTTAATTCAGCAACAACTAAATTTTCTTCATTTTGCATTTTTACTGCAAATTCAGAATAAGTTGGACTAAAACGTACACAGTGTGGACAATATGGTGAAAAGAATTTGACAATAACATTTTTATTTTGCTTTAATACAAGGTCATGATTACTTTTGTTTAATTGAACCAACCCTTGTTTATTAGCATAAACAAGAGCAAACACAAAAACGATAATTATTGCTTTCATTTATATAAATTTTTTTATGTTTTTTTTAGTTTTTATTTTATTTTTTTTATTTTAATGATACAAAAACAATCACAAAAATACAAAGTCGTTTCATCCATAATTATCCATGAATTAATAAATGACTAAAAATATTATTCATTTGATATAATAATGAATTTACAAAAGTATTTTATTATTACCTATTTGTATTTGATTATTAAACACTACAAATTATAAAACAATATTATTTTGAAATTAAAAATCAATTGAATAAAACAGAATGCCTATGAATTATTATGCAATGACATCCTCCTTTTTCTCTTCTAATCTCTTTTCTATGTCATCAAGAACTCTATCAATTCTTGGTAATTCACGTTCAATCTTTTCTAAATTAGCACTACTCTTTCTAATTTTTGAATTCTCTTTGATGACTGCAAGAGCTTCAGAACAACAATTTGTAGATTCTTTTAAAATATCAAACAATTTATTGTATAACACCATGTCAAAACGGTTTAGGTCTTTATAAAAAATATCTAAAACATCAATAATTTTCATGGTATTAAAGATATTTGACTTACCAACTGGACTGTCATTTAAACCAAAGAAATAATCCCCAATACTCTTCTGTAAGAAACTTATAATATCAAAAGCAACTTCTCCAAAGAATTTTTTACTTTCTGAAAGGAAGTAATCAATGTTTTTCTTTCTCTTTTGAATTTCTTCTATAATTATTTCTATTGGAGTTAAATAAACAACACTTTGATTAATAACGCTTTGTCTTTTTAATAAACTAGGTAATACAAAATCTGTTTGTAAGACTGTTCTCTTTTTAAACAAACTCAATGCTGGAGCGTTTGATGTTGATAATATTTCTTCTCCTTCTTCTCTATTAACACACAATTCATCAAAATTAAATGTTGAGCTATATTGAATAAAGTCTCCATTATCATAGACTGGCTGGACTTGAGTCCAAAGAATATAACATTCATTATCTGGTGCATTCAATACAGTATCATTGACTTGATCTAATGAACGTAAAATATGTTTTTCCCCAGTGAAAGAGGGTGGAAGAATATCAGTGACTTCTTTTAATAAATATGACATTCTTTCTTTTGTTGAAGAATAAACGAAGGAACATCTATTTAACTCTGGTCCAAATACTTTTCCAAATAACCTAACATAATAAAATTGAAGATAATCCCGTACAACACCGTCACCATTATGATTTATCAATGAGTCATACATTCTATTAACAAAGTCATGAATATTTCCTAATTCTTTGTATTTATTCTTTTTAATGTAATACGGAATAACAACGGATGCTACAGTTAATCCATACCATGGCATATGACCTTGTTCAAAATCATGACATGCTGCAGTAATATGTTGAAGAATCATTTCTTCTGTAAGGTGAGCAGTGAATTGTGGATTAGGAGGAACAGAGGTATTTCTAACAAATTTACCAAAAGTTGTTTTTAAAGAATCAACATTGATTGACACTAACTCACTTGGTAATAAATGGTGAATGAAAAGTATTAAATGAACTTCACATAATCCTGCTTCAACAAATTGTTGTTTTGTTCTATGTTCGTTTGCTAGTTTTGCGATCCAAGTCATGTGTAATTGAGGTGCAGAAACATAGTCCATAGCAAATTGGTAATATCGACCAAGCACAAACTGTGGGTCTTGTGATTGATTCTTTAACTCATTGAGGCTATTCAAATTATTTAATATTTTTACAATATCATCTTGTACAATCTTTAAGTCTTTATCAAATGCTTCTCTTTGACCAACAGAAAGGTCATAGAAACAATCTGGTTTAACATTTTCTTCATTTGTAATAAAATATCCAATAATATCTTTATTTTCATCTCCTCTTCTCGCTCCTCTTTGGAACCCAGTTTGTGGAGTTTGAAGACTAGGACTTCTACCACTGTATAGGTAAATGGAATTTCTTGGACTTCTTGGAGATTTATTAGCATTATTTTCTTTTTCTTGTTTTATTACTTCTTTTTCAGGAATACCTAAAGCAGAACATCTAGCCCAAACTGTTTGTTCACTTCTTTTTAAGTCACAGTATCGATTTAACTTGTCTATTTTCTGTTCGTCATAAATCAATAATTTATCTCTTAAACTTTGTACTTTTTGAATAACTGAACCAGGAACTTTTGATGGTTCTGTATTAGAAATTTTATCAGTTTCATTAAAAAATTCTTCAAATAATGCTGCATAGTCTTTTCTAATTTTTTCTACTTTCTCTTCTTCCTTCCATTTATCAACAAATAACTTTGTTAAAGGTTCTACTTCTTGAAAATGTTCTTTTTGTACCATTTGAAGATATTTAAATCCTATTGGTAATTTCTTTCTTTTTCTTAATTCTTCAATTAAACGATTTGCGTCTTCATATTGTTTTTCTGCTTCCTTTACATGGTCTAATAAATATTGTGAAACTTTGGTAAGAGTGTTCAAATAGTCATTGGACTGTCTCATAGTAACTTTATCTAATGAAATATATAACCCATCCCATAAATATGCTGATATCACTGTTTTAACAAATGTTCGTTCATTATCGTACCATTTCTTCATTTGTAATATATTTTCTTCATTATTTTTAACATTTTCAATTAATTGTGCTAACCATTCCACAACTGATATAGCATAACTAATACTTTCTTCCCAACTACAATAAGCAATTTCCCACGATGGTTTTAATCCTCCAACTTTTTCTTTCTTATGAGTAAGTTTATTAATATCACTAACATATACTTGGTTTAGTCCTTTTAATTTATCTATAGACTCTTTTAAGAAAATTTTATTAAATGGTAATGTCATAATATCATCGCAAATATCAAAATATTTCCTTTCTATCACCATTTCAAATGAACGTATTTTACTAGTATATCTTTCTTTTTCTGAGTCATATGATGTTCTTGTTTGTAGATGACTGTTGACAGCTTTAATTCGTGATTGATGTAATTGAAGAACTTTTCTAACACCATCACTCATTTCTTGACTCGTAACAGGGAATAATGGATTAGAAGATAATTTAAATGTTGTTAATGTTTTATCAAATGAGGTATATTCATCTAACATAGTTTTAACTTCATTAGTTCTTTTTGTTTGTTCTTTTTCTAATTCTTCAATCTTTCTAATTAATTGAACATCATCGAATGGTTCTAAGTCACAACTATCAATTGAGAGTGACTTCTTTGCCCAGTCTAATAATTGTTCTCCAATTTTTTTATTAGCTTTACATTTTTCTTCTAAGTCTTTCATTTCCTTTTCATTGGTATCACACTTTCCTTCTAATAAATTGATTTTTTCAATACAGTTATTATATTGAATATTTATTTCTTTAATTTTTTCTTCAAGGAATGAATTAAATGTCTCATTGATATTCATAGCTTTACTTTCAATAAATTCTATCCAAGATTTAACCATTTTAGAATTTTCATTTGTTTTAAACATTTTAACTAACTCTCTTTTCATTCCAATGTATCCATTTATTACTGTTGGTTCTGCATTTATTGTAAAGTCAAGTACTCCATTTAATACATTAATACTTTCTAAAACAAATGTAATAAAAACATCAAGATCACCTGCATCAATTGCTTTATATAATCGTTGAACTCGTTGTAATGATTTATTTCTCCTAACCCCTTCATTAAGTGATAATTCAATGCATTTTTGAAGCTTATTATTAAAGTTATCATGATACTTTTCTGCCAAATTAACTAAACCTTTAATTGACTCTTCAATGCCATGAACATCATTAAATTGAAGCTCTGACAAAGCACTTGTAGCATTAACTATTGTAGAAACTGTATTTCCTGTAACAATGAAATTTGTTTTAGCAAAGATGAAAATTAAGTTATTAGCAAAATTTTTTTGGTTTTTAGTAGCTGAATTAGAAAGTCTCAATAAATTTTTCAGTAAATTCAAAGCTAAGTTGTTTGGTCTTTTAAAAATGAATTCTTTATATGTAGTAATCATAGTTCTTATAAATTCATATAAGCTAATAAGATAAATGTCATTTGGTTTAACTTCAAAAAGTACTGATGAAATAATTTCTTGTGCTCTTTC